GAGAGTCAAAGAGCCACTGGCATCGTCAAGTTCTCGAGCATCGTCACAATCCATAAGTTTTATTTTATGTTTTCTTTGAACATGAGTAACTAAATTATTCTCTAGGGCGAGGATGACGCCCGAGCATGGATAGTTATGATTTCTAATGTTATTTAATGGATTCTAAGTTTCTTTTAGATGAATATTTGATCACAATTTTAATTGTTGCTATTTGTTTAAGTGCTTTGATTGATCACCTTAGGGCTTTGCATATAGTAAATTGGAAGATGAATTTGAGGCAGAACTCGCAATATAATTCAATTAGCTTCTTGTGATTAAGTGTGGTGAATTACATTATTGCTTGACAAAGAATAATGGTTTGCTTGGTTCTCTCGTTTTCTAGAACGTAATGAATCCAACTTATTAAATTTATGCCTTAATCAGGATAGATTGCAGGATTGGGTATATGATCTTTGTCTAAACTAGAAAAGAATCTTACATTTAAGGAAAACTATGGTCTGAGTGCCTGAAAAGGACTTAGATACGAGAATTATCATCTAAAGAATCGAAAGAATCTGTTGAATGCATTGAAATCTAACTTGGATTGCTTGTGGTTGATTCCGAAACCCTAGACCTTCGTCATTGTTTTTCAACCTTAAAATTCAACCTTTTTATTCTCAATTGCTTTTATTAGTTTCATTGTTTGTTTCATAAACTTTCACAACAACAATCTCTACAAATTCATTTGCGTATCAGTTAGATTTAATTTAGGTATTCGAATATTAGATTAATTTGGAATCCTCGTGGGAATGACACTTGGACTTGTCAAACGCTATACTACGTCATTCTTGTGCACTTGTAAGGACAGACCACACACTTCGAATCCCGAGAAAAATTAGGAATTTATTTTAAAGTTCTCGTTCGAAGCGCTTTATTTTAATATCATCCTCTTGTTTTTAAATGGGTACTCCAGCTACTCATACTCAATAGGCGGGACCCTCTCAGGGTCAAGCAGCATGGGATTATCTATGAGTGGACTTTATTTTTAAACTATAATCATTATTTTCAAGGATGGAAAAATATGCATAATGATTTCTTGGATTATTAAGTTATTAATTACTTACAAATGTTTAATATAATATTTATATGGAAATATTGGATTTATATTCAAATAATTGTGGATTTTGAATATTTTAAATGGATATATGCTATATTTTGAGAATGATTATTTATACTTGGATATATGTTGAGTATATGGGTTGTGGGAAGAGTTTATGAAATGTAGATTGAGTTGTGGATTAAGCCTGTTTGAAGTGCTATAGGCACTCCCTATGTACCTCCCCGAATATGGAATATTGGAATAAGATATATGGAATTTTGTGATACTTAGATATGTTGAAACCTGGGCACCCTTGACGGGGTGTTTCATAGACCCATAACGGGGTTAGTTTGCGCACGTAGGATATGTCACAAGCACACGAGTATTGAGGATTCTGCAGTGCGTGCTGGTGGGCCCAGTCCCCTGGTTGGAGACGTCGCTTTCCCTAGCCACATGGTTATTGAGGATTCTTCTATGTGGCCTAGTCAAACAGTCCCCCGGTTGGATTGTTTCCCTGGTACAAGTTTGGTAAAGGTCATACTTATATATATAGATATATATTATATTATATTATATTATATTATATTATATTATATTATATTACTCCCACCCGCAGTGGGCTGTTAGTTAGTTTACAGTATTTAGAGCTCAACAAAAATTCCTCCCACCCTCAGTGGTATATATACTAAAGACGGAAAAATGACCTCTGAGCTGCATGGACCAATTATCTTGCTTGTTCTTAATTGTTAATGTTAACTAACTATACGGACCTGAATGTAAAAATAAAAATTACAAAGGTAAAAGTAGAAAATTACATAAATTAAAGAAGCCAAAAGCATGTCTCCCTTTTGAAACTTAAAACACCAAGAATTTAGTGAAGACAAATAGGAAGTAAGGAGAAAAAATAATAAAAGAGAAGAGTGTAGTGGTCTCTGAGAACAATAATGTGTAGGTAGAAGAAGCACCAATAAATCTAGACACTACTTAATGAATCGAAAGACTAGTATGTGTATATATATACACACACCTATCCTTTCATTCTTATCTGTCGGTGAGGATACTTTCTCGCTCGCCAAGCCAACAAGCATGCGTTTCGAGAGAGTAGTTTGGGAAAGGTTTTGGAATGGGATTGGTGATAGTATACTATTATGAGATTATGGATTTCACTATGGTTTTGACTAAACTATATGTACATATATATAGCTACATCAGTTTTGAATGCATGTCGTTTTCTGCATCGTTTTCTAAACGGTGGGGGTTATATTATGTTGTTTTTAAATGTGAAATAAACTTTGTTTTGTCCACTCACAAGTTTTCTGTTTTGCTCCCCCACCCCCCCAAGGCAGTACATAGTCTGAAATCAAGCGGCCGTATCAAGTCGTGAACTCCGAGCCCACGCTTGTG